GTGTGCCACTTTGGCAGCTACCACTTATTTTTATTTCAAAATATTTCTCTCTCAGTAGGAAAATAAGAATCGTCTCAATGCCCATGAAAAATTTAATCACAGAACAAAAATTATGCAACAAATCATGATCAATAATTGATGAAAGACAAGAAATCCATATGCAATTAATATTAAGAGACGGAATTGACAACAAAATTTCAAAATAGAATTTAATGCATAAAAATAATGGCAACATTTAAATACATAAACATTTTAATGAAATAATACAAAAGTCGTCAATTAATTTTATTATTTATTCAATATATGATTTTAATCGGGTCAAGTTTAAATAAAATTTTAATTGGGTCAAAATTGAAATCATAGGGTCAAACCTTTTAAAAGTTTAAATTTGATACCCTTTTGAAAATTACATATTAACCCTAGATTAAAATTGAAAACTAGGTCCTTAACATTTATTATTTACAAACTTAACCCCCAATCTCAAATTGCAAACAGGGGCTCTAGACTCACAAATTGCAAGAGAGGCTCCCGTCTCCAATTTATCACAGCATACCAAAATTTAACCCAAAATAGAGACAACAAAAATTGCCACTCATCCCGGCGTCAGTTGAAGTTACCACCAACCGGCTGAATCTCTCCCACCGGCCACCACCTCTCGGTTATTATTTTTTTTTCCTTCAAAACCTTAACAAGAACCGCCACCCAATTTCAATATCATATAGATTTTGGTCCCTTCTCAGCCATCATATAGATTCAACATTATTTCTCAATTTTACAGCAATAAGCAAAACCACAGAACTGAGATTTTGGTGGCAACATCTCACATTTATTTCAAACCCCAATCAAAATAAAAGGAACTGCAAAGGCACAAACGTATGGTTGCCTTGGATTCTTGACACAAATAAAACACAAATGGCATTTGAGTAATAGCTTGGGGCTATGATTTTAAGAGTTTGGAGTTCAACAAAAAAAAGGACCAAGTTTCTGCCATGGGTAGGGGAGGAATGGGTGTTGCAGGTTTCTTTTCATATATTTATAAATATAATGAACATATAATAATAATAATAATAATAATAATAATAATAATAATAATAATAATAATAATAATAATAATATGTATATATATTCATAGCATTTAGAAGAATCAGAACGCACATTTATGCAATTTTTTTTTTCACGTGATATAGAAAAGAAAAAAAAAAGAATTTCATGAAGGATTTCGATTTTAACATGAAGGCTCTGATACCAATTCTTGAATTTAATTTAATCATGTTAAGAATCGATAATCACAATCCAATAAATTAATAGAAATGAATTCATACCTGCGAAAGCCATTGTTGATATAAATAATAATTGTAATAGCAGCCAAGACATTCCCCTCCTTGCTTCTCACAAAGTATTAGCTATCAATGGGACAAGCCAATAAAAACATATGGAAAGGAGAGGGGACCTTGCCTTTATATATAGGAAATAATTTGAGTCGTCCCATTACGACTATAATTCTAATTAGGGTTTATTTCCGACTCACATACTTTAAATTACCACATCAAATTAATTACAACTCGTAAGGTGTAAAAGGCTCAATTGATCACTTAATAAATTTGGCCCAAACACAATTATCATTATGAACCATATATCTAACCTGTAAAATTTTGCAATCGAATATGAAGCCCACATATGAAATTATTAATTATTCCAACATTATATAGGTATGTAAGGACTCTCAACTATCACTTCTCTTGAAAATGAAGTATCTGAAGTCAGATAATGGAGAAGAATATGTATATTATGATTCAAATAAGTACGGCATTGATAATGAAATTAAGATAAAGCAGATCATTCCAAAAACATCTCAACAAGTGTAGCTAATAGGATAAATAGAAATTTAAATGAGTGTGCTAAAAGTAGGAGATTACATGTTGGGTTACCAATGATGTTTTGGGCTTAGGCTATCATTACTCCAGCCTATGTGATCCACAAAGGTCCTTCACACCATTGGACTGTAGAATACAAAGGTAGTTTAGAATAGTAAAGATGTAAATCTTCCACATTTGATAGTGTTTGGTTGTGCTCTTGCATTCACATTGATTCTATTGTAGAAAACAAGCTTGATGCTAAATAAAAAGTATTTTTATAAGATATGATGATATCTAGTTTTGTTATCATTTTTGGGATGATCGAAATCAAAAAGTTATCAGGAAAATGGACATGATCTTTAATAAAAGTGTCTTGTATAAAATCGGTTGGGAACAAATCCTAAAAGCGCAAGTCATGAAGTTAAAAACCCTATGTAAAACCATTGAAAGATCTTTCAGTAATTGAGTTAGAGAATGCTGATAGTAAAGGCTGAGAAAATATATCCCTAGAAATACGTTAGAACACCCATATGACTCAACTTAGAAGATTCGGCAAAACTATTAAACATTTGCAGAGATACTCTCCAACAGTATATTATATTCTATTGTTTGATAGAGATGAAATAGAAAGTTATAGTAAAGTCGTGTAGGTTAATGAATCGATCAAGTGGTGGTTAGTCATGAGTGATGAGATGGACTCGTCATTATCCAATCAGACATGATAACTAATAGAATTACCGAAAGGAAAGAATGACTTTCAAAATAAGTAAGTTTACTGATCAAAAGAAGAACATAATCATAGCAAGCGATATAAAATGAGGTTGGCTGTAAATGGATTTCAACAGAAAGTAGGCATTAAACTATACTAAACTTTTCACTCAATGGTAAAATTAAGCACAATAAGAATACTTGTACTATTGGCAAAGAAAGACTTGCACATAGAGAAGTGGGATGTAAAGACAAACTTTCTTCATTGGTATTTGGAAGATCAAAATTTTAATAATGTAACCATAAGGTTTCGAGGTATAGGAAAAGGCAAAAAAATGGTGTGTAGAGGTTTGATTATTTTATAAGAGGGTTGAGAACTTTGAGATACTAGTATAAGAGGTTTGATTAATTTGTGGGTACTAAAGGCTTCATCAGGTGTTAGGCAAATCATTGTTGTCCTGTAAAAAACCTTGTTGTCTCCTATATTATCCTATTACTATATGTTGATGACATGTTAATTGCAAATTCTTGCAAACAAGAAATAGACAAGTCAAAAAATGAGTTTCACAAGTAGTTTGCAATGAAGGATTTGAGTGTTCTAAAACAAATTCTTAAGATGAGAATTACTAAGGACGGTGATGTCTTGAGACTATTATAGAAAGAGTATGTAAAGAAGGCGCTAAGTAGGTTCAAGAGGGGTAATGCAAAACCATTGAGTGTTTCTCAATTCAAGCTATCCAATTAGCAGTGATCCTCTATAGAGAACAAGCGGGCTTACATGGTTAAGGTGCCCTATGCCTTTGATATTGACAGTCTTATGTATTTTATAGAGTGATGAGACCATACATAGCTTATGAAGTGACATTTGTGAATAGAGATATGAGAAATCTGGGAAAACAACATTTGAAAATAGTAAAATGGATTCTCAAGCCTTGGGGGATACTATAGATTCAACACTGTGTTTCGAAAAATTAAATTTTTATATTACATGGCTATGTAAATACTGATATGGCAAATGATATTGATGGTAGGAAAAATACTACTCGATATCTATTGAGTCTGAATGGTACAATAGTTAGTTGGGTGTCTAAATTGTAGAAGATAATTGTTATTCCCATTAATGATATAGAGTTGTATTCAGGGGCGGTGCCCCATTAGGTCCAGTGCAGACAGATGCCCGCATTGAACTTTTGGGCTCCACTAGGCCCAATATTTTTATTTTTATTTTTTTTGGTTTTTGAAAGCCTAGTTAACAAGTAACAATCCAGATGGAAGCCCAACCTAAGTAACCACAACCCATAACTCGTTTACGTTTACCGATCCGGACCCAGTGACCCAGACCCATCATTCTTAACCCGTTTAAAATCAAAATCAAGCCAAACCCTTAATCCATTAATCGCGTCTCTCTCTCCATACTCGTCTCTCGCCTGCTCTCTCAAACTCGAAGCTCCACCCGTCTCCGTCCCTGCACCGGTCACCGGTGGCCGGCATCTCCTATATTAGGGGCTTTAATCTCCTTCCCTTAGTTCCCTGTAAGTGTAAGCTCCGCCCCTACCGTCTAGATTAGGCCGAAACTGAAGTGCATCTCCTAGATTAGTGGGACTGAACCGCCGTATGCCAGTGCCATCGCCTCCCGCCAGGCACCACCGTACGGTCGGCACCAGCTACCGCCTGTAAAGAAGGTAATTAATTTCAAATTTAGATGTTCTTCCAAATTCCAACTGAACTTCCGTGAGCCGTCTGCCGGTGCAAGTCTGCGAGATACAAAGATTAATTTTAATTTACGGCTGCTGCTGCATGCTGCCTAATTTTCATTTCTTCAATTCTGCCTGCTGTTGGGAACGTGGGATTGGGGAAATAATTTTGCAGCTTGTCTAATTATTATCTTGTTTTCTTTCCTTGCTGCAGCCTGCAGATGTATCTTCTATTTGTTGCAGATTCTCATTCAATCATTCTCACTTTGTCACACAAGGAAAACTTGGTATGTGAATTTATATTGTGAAATTGGATTGATAGTGTGAAATTTTGAATTAGATTGTGAAATAGTATAAATTGCATTGTGAATTTGTGATGTGGAAGGTGAATTGATATTGTGAAATTGGATTGATAGTGTTAAATTGTGAATTGTAAATTAGATTGTGAAATAGTATAAATTGCATTGTGAATTTGCGATTTGGAAGGTGAATTGATATTGTGAAATTGAATTGATAGTATGAAATTGTGAATTAGATTGTGAAATAGTATAAATTGCATTGTGAATTTGCGATTTGGAAGCTGAATTGATATTGTGAAATTGTGAATTGGATTGTGAAATGTGAATTGCACTTGCGAATTGAAATTGTGAAATTGTGAATTTATGATCCTTTTGTTATTATGAATTATTCTCGCTCACTTCAAGTAATAATTGGATATCAAATGTTTAAATCCAGATATCAAATGAATATATACTTTCAACGAATAAGGAACGTAGTTAGTGTTGATGAGTGGGCATCGAATAATGTGGATGTTGATGAGGAGGTATTGAATAATGTGGAGTTTGATGTCACAAAACTTCGAACTGATCATGGTCTAAGGATACCCATTTTGGATTACAATGCTAACATCCGAGATGAAGTTCGAAAAGCATATATGTTAAAGGGTCCTTGTCAGCCACAAGATCATGACTTTCCAAAACGACAATTTGGAGTAACAATTAGACGATTCAATCCTTCGTGGTTTAAAGAGTTCGGTAGTTAGTTGGAGTACAGTATAGAGAAGGATGCTGCTTATTGTTTGTATTGTTATCTTTTCAGAACAAGTTTTGGAAAGCAAGGTGGAGGTGAGTCTTTTGTTGGCGAAGGTTTTACATATTGGAAAGATAAAAAAAGGCTTCATACTCATGTTGGACTTCATGTTAGTGTACATAATCAAGCTCGCATTAAATGTGAAGTGTTGATGAATCAAGAGCAACACATTCAATCAGTTTTCTACAAACAGTCAGAACAAGCAAGAAATGCATATGTTACACGCCTTAATGCATCCATTGATTGTGTTCGAGTTCTTTTGCGACAAGGGCACTCATTTCGAGGTCATGATGAATCTGAGGATTCTCTCAATCCAGGTAACTTCTTAGTGCAATTGCAATTTTTGGCTGCTCATAATGAAGTTATCAATGCCGTCACATTGGGAAATGCTCCTCACAGTTGCAAATTGACATCACCTGATGTTCAAAAGGATATAGTAAATGCTTGTGCTATTGAAACGATCAATGTTATTATCAAAGACATTGGCGACTCGCTATTTTCTATTCTAGTTGATGAATCTTGTGATGTGTCAATGAATGAGCAAATGTCTATTGTTTTACGTTATGTAGACAATAGTGGGCATGTCAATGAACGCTTCATAGGGATTGAATATGATACAAGTACCACGGCTCTATCACTTAAGGCTGCAATTGATAAGGTATTTTCTAGATATAACTTGAGTATGTCTAGATTGAGAGGACAAGGTTATGATGGAGCAAGTAGTATGCAGGGTAAGTTTAATGGTCTGAAAACACTCATTTTGAAGGAGAGTCCATGTGCCTTTTACATTCACTGTTTTGCTCATCAACTCCAACTTGCGCTTGTGGCTGTGGTAAAGAAGAACATCCCTATTACTAACTTCTTTCGTGTGGTTGGGAACGTAATGAATACTGTTGGAGCATCTTCCAAACGATGTGATCTTCTTCGAGAAAAACAATTAGACTTTATTGTTGAGGCATTGGAAAAAGGTGAGGTTTTAAGTGGATAGGGACTTAATCAAGAAACGACCCTTCAGCGCTCTGGTGATACACGATGAAGTTCACATTATAATTCTTTGGTCAGCTTGCTTGCCATGTTCTCTTCTGTTTTAGATCCACTTGCAATGATTGTTGAAGATGAATCTTGTTCTTGTGATCAAAGATCTGATGTAACAAATTTATTGGAGTTGATACAAAGATTTGATTTTGAATTTAATCTACAGTTGATGAGAACTGTGTTGGGGATTTCAAATGAACTGTCAAAGGCACTGCAAAGAAAAGATCAAGATATTGTGAATGCAATGCAATTGGTGAGATTGTGCAAACGACGACTCCAAATAATGAGAGACGAATAGTGGAACTCTTTTTTGGAAGAAGTATGCTCTTTTTGTCAACAACATTACATTCATGTACCCAACATGGATGATATGTTTGTATGCCTTGCAATTTGTGGTCGCCCTCAGCGTAATTCTCCAAAAATTACAAATTTACAACATTATCGAGTAGATTTGTTCTACTCTGTCATCGATTTATAACTTCAAGAATTGAATGATCGTTTCTCGGAGGCAAATACAGAGTTACTCATTTGTGTAGCTTGTTTATGCCCACAAGATTCATTTTCTTCTTTTGACAAGAAAAACTTGATTAGACTTGCTGAGCTTTATCCATTAGATTTCTCTGCAATATATGGTATTGTACTTAGCGATCAACTTGAGACTTATATTTTTGACATGCGCTCTAACAAAGAGTTTGAAGGGTTGAATGGCCTTGGTGATCTTGCGGAGAAGTTAGTTTTGACAAAGAAAGATAAGGTCTATCCATTGGTTTACAGACTTTTGACTTTAGCATTGATTTTACCGGTTGCTACCGCTACTATGGAGAGAGTTTTTTCTGCAATGAGCATCGTAAAGAATAGATTGCGCAATCGGGTGGGTGATCAGTGGATGAATGATAGCACTATTGTTTATGTAGAGAGAGATATATTTTTGAAACTCGATAATGAAGTTATTGTATGACGATATCAAAATAGGAAAACTCGCAAGGAACAAGTTTAATATATAAATTATGTCGTTTTTAGTGTTGTAGTAATATTGTTTTATTTTTTTATCATTATTAAATCTATGACCAAAACCTTGAAGTTCGGCGTTGAAAAATGATGCCCGCATTGAACATAAATTCTGGCTCTGCCCCTGGTTGTATTTGTGACCGAAGCTAACAAAGAAATGATATACTTGCAATCTTTCTTGGAGAAATTGGATAAAAGGCATGAGAATAGTGTGTAGCATTGTGATAGTTAGAAAATGATCTTGTTTATAATATATAGACAAAGCATATCTAGGTTTGTTATGACTTCATTGGATCTGAATGACATGTCGACAAATATTATTCCAACTGAAGGATTGAAGTTGTGTGCAACTTTAGTTGGACTTCGCTTTGAGTATTGAAGAGTTGTTGTTGTTGGTACAGAGAAGCCATTGATGGTTAATTAGTCTTCAAGTGAGAGGTTGTTAAGTTGTGAAGACTAATTATTGTTATTGTACAAAGTCACTTTGTCAATTGTACGTAAAAACCCATTCTTACGAAACCCGCAAGTGTATAGGATCATTGGCAAGTAATAGATAATGAGTAACGTGTAATGTCTGACGAGGAATAAAATTTAATAGAGTGTATTAGTTTTTAATTAGATTCAAACTAAGCACACAAAAAGTGATTTTTGATTTTTAATTAATTTAACTTAATTTACAAAAGCTTGTAAAATGTGAATTTAATGTGTATGGGGTGATTGTATTGGATTGCGAATCCACCTATTATTATATTTTTCAATTCTCAATTATGTAATTAGTTTCGTTCTTGCATTCAATTGATTATTCTATTGTAATTAATTTTATTTTCCAAGACAAATTAAATGTATTCTAGTTACTACCCGAATCTATTCTCAATCCAAATTCGAATAAATAGAATACATTTAATTTCACAATTATCTCAAAGTTGCACACGTAATTAATAATTTTCCTATAATTTATTGCACGTGTGTTAATCAAGCAGTGTTATAGATCAATTGTGAGCCTCTCAACACTACAACAAACAATTATATATTCAATCGGTGATTAAGCAATCAAATAATAAAATTATGCATGCAAGATTAATCAAGAATTGCAAAAAAATTAACTAATCTACATGTCTTGAATTAAAAATAAATAAATAAATATTTCATCTGCATCCAATACTTGAGAAGAATTAGGCTAGCATAATGTTGGAATTAAACACATAAAAGATAAAAGACATCATCAAAAATTTGACGAACGTGATAAATCTCTGAATTCCTTGCACAATTATTGATTATTAATTGCACAAAAAATTCTGGAATGATTCACTACAATAGCCATTTTTCCGTTTGCTTTATGTGTGTATAAATGTTTAATTCCAACAACCGGCAGCCTCCCTTTTTCAATGGTTATGTCTGTATACGAAATTAATCCCCAGCCTCAATGTTTAAGTCCAATAAATGGACTTGAATGTTCTGTCTTCTGCCAATCAATTCAGCCACCACTTCTTTGTATATCTTTTTCCTTTTCTTTTCTTTTCTGCCGTCTATCTGTGCGTGTACGGATATATATAATACAGCAGCAAGCAACCCTAATTCATGTGTGAGTAGGAGTCCAAAGCAGCTGCAATGTTTTACTTAAAGACAAATTCCAATTGTTCTCCAATTTATCTCTGCCGCCGCCAATGTCTGCGTGTATATCTTTCTCCAGCAACAGGTCTATCCCTTTATTATTTTCAGCCCTTTTTCTGCAATTATGAGGCCCAATTACGCACAGCAGCCGCCCACTTTGAGATACCAAAAAATAAAAGGGAAATTACAAAATCTCAGGCACTTAAAAGATCAAAATGCAAAAATCAAGAGGAAAGATTTTTTGTTCAAACTTCAGGTATTTATTTAACGATTAATATTAATAATAAAATATATCAATCCATTAATCTAATTCCAATCCCTAAATTAACATCACTCCATCTTCTCTCTTCACTCTCTCCATTCAAATGACACCTCCGCCGTCGCTGCCCACTGTCGAAGACCGTCGCCCACGTCAAAAATCCACCATCGAACTCACAGCGACGACGGCGTTGACACGGTGAAGCAGTTCCACTGAGCGCGAAGCCAAACACCAGCACGCTTTTGTGATTTTGGATGGTAGATCACCGCCCATGACAACAATCCATCGCCAAACTCACAGTACGACAGCGTTAACATGGTGAAGCAATTCAACCAAGCGTGAAGCAGACCACAAGCTCGATTTTGGGGGTTTGGATGGTGGATTATTGTGAGTTCAAAGAAGTAGATCCATCGAGAGCGAAGCAAAATACGTCAAACAAGCAAAAGCTGAACTCACACCTCAAAGAAGACTACCCACTCCAACTACTCTTCACAGATGAAGCACACCACCAGCGAAGCGGAATCTGATTGGGGTGGTGCCAATTTTGTGGGTTTGGATGGTGTTTTGTGGTGTTTGTGTAGTGAAGGTGTTTGTGATGGTGGATTTGGCGGTTGGCGTTGGTTTTGATGGTGTTTATGCGGTGAAGGTGTTTGTGGTGGTGGATTTGGTGGTTGGCATTGGTTTTGATGGTGTTTGTATGGTGGCGGTTTTCTGGTGGTGGATTTGACAATTGAGGTGGATTTGGATGGTGTTTTAGGGGGGATGGTGGTGGTAGTGGCGGCGACGATTGTGGTAGTGGCGGTTTGATTGTATTTTATTGAATCTGGCAGTGGTTTTGGTGTTGTTTGGAGGGTTTTATGTGGTTTTTGTTAGTTGTGCAGGTAGAGATGTTGGCGGAGATGGTGGATCTGGAGGTAGTGGTGGTAGCAACGACGATTGTAGGGAGAGGGTGGTCACAATTGACGATAATGTTGGTGGCGATGATATGTAACCAATTATTTGGTCACCTGTGACTAATTACTCAATTGTAACCTAAAAATTTAATAACATGTGACTGAAAATTAATTTGTGACCAATTAAAAATAATATGTGACTAATTAATTGTGATCAACAAATGAACTGTGATCTATAATTTTTTTGATTTGTGACAGATGAAATAAGCTTTGACTTATACAATTTTTGATTTGTGACCTCGAAATAAACTGTGACATATATAATTTTTGATTTGTGACCTCAAATAATTTGTGACTAATTAATTCGATAATATGTGACCAATAAATAAATTGTAACATTTACTTATGTATTTATGACTATTAATTTTATAATTGTGACTTTATTATATTTAATTAATAAATATATTTAATTAATTATATATATACCTGAATTTTGAACTTTCAAACTATTTACCTCACTTTTAAATTAGTGTAAACAATACACCTTAAATATGAATTTTTTCTCCCAAAAACAAATACCCAATTTGAAGTCAAATTCTACAAAACAATTTTAATTCCAGCCCACTTTATAGTGTTGAATTAGGAATCGTTAATGAATTTGAATCCAATATAAGTCCAAAAATTAGGCCCATTTAATTTTTTATCTTCTTCAAGTCCTCAACTTTCAAAGTGCAGAATTTGATCCCCAACTTTCATCCAATGCAATTTAATCTTCATACTTTGGACTTTGCCATTTTTCGCCAATTTTTATTTCTTTCCTTCTACTCCTTTTTCATTTATAAGTTACACCAATTAAACATAAAATTAAAAAAAATTATTATATCTTTTGTCAAAAGAACCATCAAATGTTGCTATTTTAGTTACCGAATAAGTGTATAAAATACACTTGATAGCAAGGTAGCGGTGAGGGTTGAGGGGCGGGGGGAACCCCTAGGGTACAGTTATTAAGAATAGTTTAGCAATTTCATACTCATAGTTTCAATTTATTAATAGATTAGGAGTCATTACTGGGTTTTGAATTATCATCAAAAGACAAAAATCAAAGAAAATAGGACGAGACACTTTCTCTTGTAAACTTCTTTTTATCATAATAAATTACTACAATGATGGTTGAGGAGTAGTCACACATTAAATCTCTGTAAGTTCTTTTGTGTCTTTATTTCTTTACTATAATTTTATCATTTTTGGTGGCATAGAATTAGGATTTCTAAATCTCAATAGTTTACACCAAAATTGGCTCCACAAGAGAAGAAGAAGATGGTAAGACCTCTCAAATGGTTATAACTTCTACTGCAGTTAGAGGGACTGGATACACATCACAAAGAACTTGGGGGCTGTCGTAGTGACTTTGCATAGGACCACTAAGTTGAAAAACATGATCTATACTGACGAAATGCTATTGATAATGAATCCATGCGAAAACTCTCTCTTTTATTGGAGCCCGAGATATAGTAGAAAGCCTACAACATGATCCGATCAAGCGAGAGCCTATTCTTGAACGTGGTTGAAGATAGTTTTTATCTTAAAACTCAGCTTCTTTAGACTGACACCAAATTATCAACTGAACTTCGAGCAGTGGCGGATCCAGCACCTAGCTAGCCCCAGCGGCCGCCCATGCTGGCCACGTGCTGGATCCGTCGGAAAGAGTTTTTTCTGTTGGGAATAGATCAAATTTTAAGGTTATATAACTAGTATTTCATTTTAGTTTCAACCCTCACTTCTAGCTCAGTTGGTTGGAGCTTGTATGTTTATGTTGGATGTTTTGTGTTCGAATCCCCTTGCCAGCAAAATTTATTTTACAATGCTTTTATTCTACATTTTTTACAAAAATTCAATAGGAAGTGGACCAAAGGAGTTTCGAACTCGGGTCCTCTTTGATAGAGGTATTGGAGCTTGACCATTACGCTAATTGTTGATTGCTATCTTTGTGTTTAACAAAGTAATATTTATTAGGTTTTATTTGGTTTGCAAGTACAATTGCAAAGATATGAACCCATACTTTCCCTTTAAATTATACAAAATTTGGCAACAATGACATTCGATAAGTCCAATTTATTCTTATAAGAAAATTATATATATTCAATTTGAACAAAGTAACTATTATATTTAAACTTTAGACCCTTGTTTGATTTTCAATTTTTTCAAAATATTTTTTTTCTTCTTTTTAACTACACATTTTTCAATAAAATAATATTACACACAAATTCAAAATTTCTATTTATTTTTAACTGCACATTCTCCATCAAATCACCATTTCAAAATGTATTTTTTGTAAAAAAAAAAAAAAGGCAATAAATAAATAAATGATATCAAACGGACTCTTAATATTTTATTGCGGCTGAACGGTCGATGACCGCCCGTGCAGGGTTGAACTTCTGGATTCGCCACTGACTTCGAGAGACATTTTCGCTGAAAAGTTGTTGCAAATGGAGAAGCAAAAAAGTTTCTCAGTTAAACCAATTATATTTTCAACCTTTTATTTTACAGTATGATGTGTTTATCTTTCTAAATTTATTTTCTATTTGAGTCATTAAATGCATCCCTTCATTCGAACAAGAAATCTTTCCAAATGTAAAATTTTTTTATAAATTGAGTCAGCAACTGATGTGAGGAAATTAATTTTCGGTGAAACCCATATGTTGATGGCTGAAATTGCTTTAAAGTTTTCTGATTTTCCAACTTAAGAAGAATAAAGATTTTTTTTATTAATAATTTGTTTCTTGCTTCTTTTGAATATTGAAAAAGTACGTGAGCAGTTTATCAATATTAAGAATTGGATAATAAATAATAGCACATGAGAAAGTGGCAATAAGGGGAAAGAAAGATGTTGCAGTGGTGGTACCGGCCAAGGAAGGAAAGGGCTGGAGTGTTTGGGAGTGGGGAGTGGGAATGTGTGGGATGGTCTTGTACAAAATGAAGATGTTTTTAACTTTATTTTTATTTTTTTGGTTTCATTTTTAAGTTTTATTTACATTTTAACTAAACTAATGATATTGTTAGGTCTAAAGGTGTAATTGGCAATTCTGTAGACAAAATGACTAAATTGTAAATTTGTAAAAGTCAGGGACTCAATTGTACAATGTTATAAAAGTCAGGGACTTGGGGTGCAATTTAGCAAAGCTAGATGGTAGGGACTAGGGTTTGAGTGTTTGGTTCAAATCAAGGTCACGGCGTCGAAAGTTCGTTAGCTGTTCGCCCTGCCACCGCTCGAGCGAGAGGAAGCAGAATGGTCGTCGCTCGATGTTCGCTCGAGCAAAGTGGCGTCGCTTGCTTTTCATTCGAGCGACGGTGTTATATGAAAAATGGTATTTTCGATTTCTGGAAAGTTTGACACGGCCTAAGACTCCTAATTGTCCCCAACTAGGCGGTGAACGTGAAAGAGAGATTGTCATATTGTGCTTTACATATATATCATCTTCAATATTCTCTCAAGTGATCCAAGGCAGAATCGAACAAGGAATTCATCCATAAATACCTTGTGATTCGGGCAATCCACTGTTGGGGAAAACATGACTATTTGTGAAGACAAAACACCTGGACTTCTTCATTTGTTGAGGAAGGGACTCTCTTATTGGGAGATTGAGAGAGGTGGACGACAAGCGCAGGAACTGGACAATGGAAACTACTAGCTTGGTCCTAGAGTTTTACCCACGTTGGGATTTCTCCGTCATCATATTGTGAGTTGGTGTTGTTACTATTTTATTTACTTTATGCAAACCGACAATTCAACATAGGCTTAATTGGACGTGTATATTTAATCACCTAAACAACAATTAATTTGTGACTTATTACAATTAATTATATTAATTCCGCACGTAAGGCCAAACGGTAAATTGGAATGTAAATTTGGTAATGCTAAAATTTGAATTTGACTTAGTAAAGCATTCCCATGAATTTTCAAGTGGTTGTAGAACATTCCCTGAACTTTCGAATGGTATCAAAGCCTAAGTGCGAATCCTGACCTTACGTTAGTCTAGATGAGTATGTCGTTGAATGTGCCACCCCACTTTGATGGGAACAATTGTGCGTATTGGAAGGTGAGAATGAGGACATTTTTTAAATCCTTAGATGAGCGTGTTTGGCAGATTGTGGTAAATGGTTTATCAGTCCCTAGTACCACAATAGATGGTGTAGTCACTCCCACCCCTGTCGAGAACTGGTCTATAGCTCAATTGGATAGCTGTAATTTAAATAGCAAAGCCCTCCATGCCCTATTTATGGCAGTTTCCCTCGAGGAGTTTAGGAGAGTATCCATGTGTGAGGTAGCAAAGGAAGTTTGGGATATTTTAGAAACCACACATGAGGGAACTCAGGCAATTAAGAGTTCTAAGTTGCAGATGTTGTCCACTAGGTTTGAAGAGATAAGAATGAGAGACGATGAGATGTTTGATGTCTTTTATGCGAGCTTAAATGACATAGTAAATTCATCCTTCAACATAGGTGAGAAAATCCCTGAGCCTAAGATAGTGAGAAAGATTCTTAGATCCTTACCTGAGCATTTTAGGCCTAAAGTCACGGCAATTGAGGGGAGTAAGGACATAGACACTATTAAGGTAGAGAAGTTAGTTGGATCCCTCCAAACCTATGAATTGACCTTAGACAATCCAGCTAAGGAAAAAATCCATAGCCTTAAAAACCACTAGGAATATTCGGATGGAATCTTCTGATTCTGATTCACCCAATGATGAGGAGATGGTCTACCTAATTAAAAAATTCCAAAAAAAATGTTTAGGAATAGGAAAAAGTCTCAAGAGAGACAAAGAGATGGCCCGAGTTAATTTAGGAAGAAATCTAAATCCGTGAGATGCCATAATTGTCGCGGTTTCGATCATGTGAGGAATGAGTTCCCTAGTACTAAAATATTTGAAGAGAAGGCTATGAATACTACTCTCACTGATGACGAATCTAGCTCGAAAAATTAGAGTGAGAAATCCACCAGTGAGGAGAGTGAAAAATATGTGGCCTTCGTTGCTAGGGGGAAAAGTGGATTTGATCAGGGACTAAAAGGACAAAGGACTTAGATAGTAGTGAAGATTCT